GTAACCGAAATAATGGATTTATCGGCAAGGCACAAGCACACAGCTTTGATTTCAGTAGAGAGTATCTCAGCTGTCAATACTATAGGCACCAGTTTGGCTTCAGATTTGGAACTAGGTGCATATGTATGATTTAAAAGTGGTAAAATTTCATTCAGATAAGAAATATAAGAAAAATATCCTTGAAATTTGAAAGTACGATGCTTAGGTATGTTGAATGAGTTAATTCTCAAATTGACCATATGTATGTCAGAATGCCTGCTTAATAAACTATATAAATAACTAGGTGTTTCAGTTTGAAGCAACTTGAATAAATTTTTTTTTTTCAAATATTCGACTCTGTCATATTCAGCTTCATCATTTTTAACAAAAATGGTGTGACATGTTCACCATATGATATTATACAGCATACGAATAGCATGCAAGCATTTTGCACAAGTTGTAACTTCTGCTTGTTATATTGCGGGAAAAAATTTGTAATACACCGAACAACAATACTCGATATGGGTGAAAATAAGAGTTTTAACCAAACTGAGTGATACTTTGATACTTTGAAAATGTTTGTCACATGTTCATGGAAAGACAAAGAGCTATCTATGGTTACGCCAAAATTTTTAGCACTGTTTACCCAGTCAGTGTCTGCGTTATCGAGAGTGAGCCTAAAGTTACACTGAGTTTCTACTATTCGTCTTTGAGACCCTATGCATAAGGACAAAGTAACATTTGGATTATTTTTCAGTCCTTGATTCTCCGAGTATAGGAATGTTTTGTGTAAATCTGTGTTTATATTGGCCACGCAACTTTCTGTATCGGTGTTATGTACATGACAATGTGATAAGAAAGTGGAGTTATCAAAAATAAACACTGAAAACATCAAGGGTCCTAAAGAACTTACTTCCCTGCGGTACACCTGAGATTGTTTCTTTTAGAGATGACCATGAATAAATATCCAGTTTGACCCTCTGTGATCGGCCTGTGAGATAGCTGATCATCCAGCTGGTCAGAAATGTCGTCGAATCCTATGAACTTGAGCTTGATGATGAGTGAATCCAAATTAACTTAATTGAAAGCCTTACTTTTATTAAGCGATTAGTTTGATCTTCCTCTTGAAGATGATCACTTGGTGATCGAAACACGTGTCGAAATGTTAAAATAACGGTTTGGTGTTGGGAAAAAATCCAGTAATATTCACTACTACACCAAAGGTTCCAAACAGTGCATCACAAGAACCATTGATCTAATAAACTATGAGTTTTCTTGACTGATTCAGATAGTTGGGCGCCAGGTTTCAAGAAACAAAATCGAAGAGAAAGGTGATAGGATAATCTCAATTATATCTAGCTGGGATAGTAACGCGAAGAAAATATAGAAAAACGATTAACAACTTCATTTCTTTGTATTTGAACAATACGGCTGAAGGCCAAAAATATAATTTCTTTTGATAACTAAAAATATAACAATAGAAAACTAGCTTGATATAATTAAAAATTCAGAATATTCACAACACCTGATGTCTGATCCAATATCGCGGTTTGTTATTTGTGAATACCTAGGGTGGCTAGTTTTTTGTCGATGTTCCTTACAAAGGGTTACGCTGTACATAATGGCTGCAGAGACTGGTGACCACCTGATTTGGCTGTATTTTGAAGCTGCAGAGATTTGTGATCACCTAATCTGACTGTGGATAGATTAATGGCTCACGGTAGGGTGCCTTTCTAACCCTGTTTTATATGGGACCTCCTTATTGTATCAGCCCTTCACCCAGTATACGGTTTTTTCAATGTCATGCGGAGCAGTGGAATGAATCAGAAAAGGATGTTATAATAATGAGGAAAAAAGAATATTCTCAGAACCTGAATACTATATTCTGAATTTTATTAAACAATATCCCTTGAAATCCAATTACATGAAAATGTCAAATGTCTAAGTGAAATATTTTGGATTTTCAAAACTATCCTAAAATGTACGGTGTTCCATTTGGATAAACTGAGTTCAACCTGATTTTCATATCTTCGTAATAAGTCATCGATTTCGAACACCTTGGACACCATCTGGATACCATGAGCTCGTGAATAACCTCTGAAACATTCTCATTTTTATGGAATCTTCGTATTCACGGATTCTACATTTTTCTCTGGATTCTGAGGCATCTCATCTCCAAAAGTATCCTGAATTTCGTTTAGATCACCCTTAGTTTCAGGAACAAAAACCAGACGAAAAGTGAATTCAAAAATGTAAAACAGCAGAATACATAAAAGGGTTAGGTTAGTTTAGGTTAGGTCCAAAGTGAGTGGGTCTATTCGACCCTCCACCGCAACCCGCAAGGGTTTATGGTGGCTCACACATATTCTCACTAGGCCAAACAAACCCAGCTTCTTAACGAAGCCGATTAGTTTGTAGGGTAGGGGTCTTTCAGGTCAGATGGTGAGAATACGGCTCTGCGGAACTCTAAAATTTTTTACCAAACAGAGGCGACACACTGTCCCCTGACAGTCCGAGTCTCTGCATATGATGATTCAAAAGACAGTGACCTGTAAGAAGGCCTGCTTTGGAGTGAGTCAATCCTGGAAAATTCTGCCAGGAGTCCATAAATCTTCTTGACATACAGGTGTTTAATCTTTGTTTGGCAAAACCTAAATCGATGCCAATGACAGGCTCTAGCCCGATGAAGTTGCTTGCAACACCCTCCTTTACAAGGAAGTCAGCAGCTTCATTGCCTTCCAAGCCAATATAGCCAGGAATCCAGACCAGAGACAATTTTTGTTGAGTCTTTCTATTGAGGAGAGTCGTTTTTGGCAATTTGCCACCAATTTAGACGTTGCTCGGTAGGAGCCAAGAATTTTCAACGTAGGTGCTCCCGTGATCAACATAAAACAGAACAATCATTTCTGAATATGTTAACCAATGTACACTGCATCGGCAAGGCACAAGCACACAGCTTTGATTTCAGTAGAGAGTATCTCAGCTGTCAATACTATAGGCACCAGTTTGGCTTCAGATTTGGAACTAGGTGCATATGTCATCACTGTAACTATAGGAATCCAACTTACCGACTCCATTTTGTATCTAGAATGCTTCACGTTGAGGTATGAAGCCAAAATCAATAAACAAACCCCAGTGAGGAAGCTGAAAACTATCATCAATATCTACTCACATTTATCAATTGTTGAAGAAGGCACAGTCAAAGCTACCAACATAAATGCAGAGAAAATAATAGAGGTAAAGGAAGGGTCTACACTACATTGTTAGTACAAACGCTTTCTAGAATCTTGTGCATATTCAGCAAAATTGAATTGAATCCGCTCAAACGTTGAGCAGAGTTGAGAGCAAGTACGATTAGTGGAAGTTTGCGGTTACTTTTCTCTTCTTTCTCGTCTTTCTTTAATTTCTTTCAGCTCCTGTTCCACTGTGGCAGGATTATTTCAGAATCTGAAAACCAAATATGAACATAATATGTGAATACTAAAAATATCATGAGTATAATAAAAAAACGCACAAAAATATTCAGTTAGAAATATTTGGATACTACTGGTCGTACAAAAACAATTTCAGTAACCATAACCTACACCAGTGGTCGCCAACCTGTCGATCGTGAGCTACCGGTAGCTCGCGGAGGCAATTCTGTTAGCTCTCACAACGATTTTAATTTAAAAAATACAAACTGCAAAAATCAGAGAAGCTTTCTCAAATTGTGAAAGCGCTGATTCGTCTCACATTCGGCAAGAAAATGAAATGTCCAGATGTCATATGCGGTAGTCTACATGAATATATACAGTGTGTAAAAGCAAAATGGAATAAATCAATTATTTCGGTTACTGTACATATTTGAAAAAAATCCTGAAACACGTCAAATGTAAATTATAATTTGACATCATTCAACGTAAAAATGCTACACCTACTTTCAACTCCCTTCGAATGACAGGTACATGTTATTTTATGCATTTCCGTTAATCTAACCATTTGTCAGACTTGAAGTTAACGAACTGTATGTTACAACTAATGTTGTAACATACAAAAAAAGTTGACAAGGCGTTTTAAGCTAACGTTGTCACGGAATTTTTTTACAGTTTTTTTCAGGATACCAGCTGAAAAGAATATTGCTATGGTTTTTGCTTACTTTCTTATTATCAATACCCCAACATGAAATAAGTTTTGAGTATATTGCAATATGTTTTGAGTGTATTTTATCGAATTCCGGTAACCACATGACTTCAATTTTAATTATTTCAATTGCTGCAATTAACTTAAAAGCAATAACATTTTTGAATAGCGAATAAAGAGACCTCTCAAATGATAAACAGGGCTTTTCATGATGAGCGTTAATTAGCCGTTTCTGGCAAACTATTCAACGGATCAACCTGGAAATTCCACAGTATGCATAAGTCAATCTTGAGTCTTGACAAGTAACCATTCAAAGAATTCCACTCTACGAGGTAAATCAGTCTCTTTCAAATGATGGACACAGTAGAACTTATAGGTTATAGTAACTTATAAGTTATAGGAACTTATAGGTATACAGTTAAAAAACTGGATCAAAAAGAAATAATACTGAGTATAAAAAACATGTTAAATATCCAAAATAAGTGATGAATTCAAAAAAAACGAGCAAGAAAACCACGTCAGTTTTC